AGTGGGTGGGGGTCTGGGTGGGGGTGTGGGTGGGGGTGTGGGTGTGGGTGTGGATGTGGGTGTGGGTGTGGGTGTGGGTGTGGGTGTGGGTGTGGGTGAGGGTGTGGGTGTGGGTGTGGGTGTGGGTGTGGGTGCGGGTGTGGGTGGATGTGGGTATGAGGTGTTGGTGTGGGTGAGAATCTGGATCAAATCAACACCCACAGCCACAGCCGCAACACACCCACACGCATACCCTACACAGATTTAGAACCCATTCCCGATGTGATGTTATATACAATATATCCCCCTGGAAAAAAATAGTGTCACATGATATTCTTAATATAACATCATTATAAATTAACATTTTGAGAAACGTAATTATATATTCGGATAGCCCGTGGAATTCTCTACAAACCTGCATATGTACGTTTTGAACTGCATTTATTTGCTAAAAATAAATTCAAGTACAACAAAGACATCCTGATAGCCCGATTCCCTGGAAATGCATTTTTGTTTCTTCATCCATTTTTTCAAAAATATTTTTAATATAGGAACAAATTGTTACAAAAGTACGTATATATTCTGAAAGATCGTGAAATTTTCTATCAACCTATATATTTATGTCTTGTCTTACATTTCTTTACTGCAGTGAATAAATGCAAGAAAAGATATACATATGTAGGATGATAGAGAATTTTATGCGCTTTCAAAATATACACTTACTTTTGTAAAAACTTGTTCCTGTATTAAAAATATATTTGAAAAATAAATGAAAATAAATAAGAAAAACATTTTCCCGGGGAATATGAAGATGAGAGTGCCTTTACTGGGCTTGAATTTATTTTTAGCAAACAAGTGCGATGCAAAACGTAGATATATAGATTTGTAGAGAATTCCACGGGCTATCCGAATATATAATTAAGTTTATCAAAATATTCAATTTATAATGATGTTCTATCAAGAATATCATGTGACACTATTTTTTTCCAGGGGATATATAAGTAAATAGAGTATGTTCTCTTTTATCATACGAACATGGTTTAGATATTTCTGGATCCATCACTGGATGTTGATTGTTGGGCTCGTTTTCTTATGCAATTATTAATGATTCTTCTACTTGTTCGTATAATGGGATGGCTACTTGAATAAATAAAACAACCACCCGTAAGAGATTGTTGTAGTATGACCTAATCAAGTTTAGGGAGAGGAAAGCTCAGCCCTAAGAGTAAACAGCAGTAGCTTTGCTTCTGAAGTCCGATGAAGTGTTACAAATATTTCGGCGTGCTTCTATTTGAAACTATCGTGAGAGTATGGGCGTGGGTGGATGCGGCTGTTGCTGTGAGAGTGAGTGTTGATTTTATCCAGATTTACACACACACCCACACATCCACACCCACACCCACACCCACATCCACACCCACACCCACACCCACACCCACATCCACACCCACACCCACACCCACACCCACATCCACACCCACACCCACACCCACACCCACACCCCACCTCCTACACCTCACATATCACACCCCACATCCTATATCCCACATCGCACACCCCACATCCCACACTTCACACCCAGAACTAGCCTTAAGTGTTTGGCGATTCGTTCGATGATAAAGAACACTAAAATACTTACCTAAGTCTTCGGTAGTTCTACCTTTTGTTTCAAGAGCATGAATCATAATGGGGACAACTCAGTTTCATTTGAATAACAAGAGTGTTCTTATCTTTTATCAACACTCTCTTCATATTCTTTTCGAAGGCAATTGTGTAAATATAGCTCAGTTCATGTTGTATTTCAGAGGTAATTTAAATAAAACTCATGTTAATATGACGAGCGTTTTAATGATATTAAGTACTAATCTGTCAATGAAGGCAAGTTGAAATCTCGAGTAATCTACACAGAAAGACGCATGCGATATGATCTCTAATATTGCTGATGAATATCAACATACAGGAAAGTGTAGTTAATTAATGGAAACTTAAAAAATCTCATTCCGGATAGAATCTTCTTTTAGTCTTTCTGAGGGGTTCCGGAATTTTGCGAATAAGACTTTCGCCTATATATTGTGTGGAATTTCGTGAATAGGCGAAAGTATGGCGAACTTTCACCAATTGACGAAAATACAGTGAACTTTCAGCAATTTCATTGTAAATTAGGCATAGACTAATAAAGATTCTTCTCACCTACATCAATGAGTGTAAGTTGTGATATATATATTCTAATAACATTACCTTCAGTGCTGACATATATCCTATATTGATATTGTTCCGTGACAACTGAGATAGTCCAACTCACTTTCGCCAATACATCTCCTGGAATTTCGGCAGTTGGCGAAAATTTGCCGTACTTTTGCGATTAGCTAATGTCTTATTGGGGAACATTCCGCCATCCTTTCGAAGCAGTTTTTCGAACTGCTGTGGAATGAAATACAAGCATCTCTCTTACACAATCGCAAAATACGAAGAAGGTGAATGTAAGGGCAATTTTTGAAAACGAAAATTTGTTAAAAAGCTACTTTTATCATTGAACAATTATCAAAGTTTCAATGATTACTCGCGTACGTCCTCGATACATTTTCGTTTTCATGCTCTTGATCGTTCGTTTTAACTCATGCGTTCATTCAGCTTGAATTCCTTTATGCATAGAAAATACACGCTGCTTTCCTCTACTAACTTCCTTGCAACTAAATTTTCAAAAAAAAACGCGAAAAATTGTTGATATTTTCTCTGTCTACGCAGATTGTGATTCTCGCATCCATACGATTTAGAACTGCTTAATTTAACCAAGTATCGTATCACATTCTTTAGTTTTATTTGTAGAGATCAAAAAAAAATTGATCATACTTCACAGTTTACGATAGTGGTGGGCAATGGAACGGAGTGCTGGTCGCTTTATTAACGAAACTCATGCAGATATCCAAGACCTTGGCCGCAATCCAATTCATGGCTACGAGGATGAACCATTATCCTCGTTAGAAGAAGCTGCAAAAACATTGGTTTCTTTTATTCCTCAGATTGCTCAAGATGTATCAACAGCCAAACATAACTGTAATCAAAACTCACATCTATTAACATTGGATGAGTCAGCAGCAATATATCTTTATACTATGCCAGGACCTGTGTTTCGACTTCTTAACCAAGCTCTAAGAAGTGAAGATCGGCATAGCATAAAACCATGGTTTTCCTTCTTAAAACTTTTTATTACTGCTCTAAAAAAACTACCATCTTCTACAATCACAGTTTGGCGAGGAGCAGCTATAGACGATGGTGTAATATTTACTGATGGTGACATACATACATGGTGGACTGTAAATTCATGCTCAAATGATCTAGCTGTCATACAAATTTATCTGGGCAAAACAGGCACTGTTTTTGCAATCGATGCGGCTGAGGCTAAAAATATTTCTTCATTCTCAACATTTCCAGATGAAAAAGAACTTATTTTGATGCCTGGTACCCGTGTTCGGCCTTATTGCAGACATCTCAACTTCAACGATCAATACTTTCTTATTCACTTAAAAGAAGAAAGCCAACAAAGGTTAGTTTGGAAAAGTTTAATTTCCTGACTGATTCAGTAATATTTACCAGTGCTCACTAAAGAGAAGCACCGAAAAGCGTTATAAACTGTAATATTTTGGCTTGGATTATAAGCAATAGTTGATTGGCGTAGGATAAATTGACAAGTAATTAAGTTAAAGACTAAAGCATGTTTTATATAAGGACTGTGCCACTTAGACAAGCGATGGCAATGGATAGCAATTTTACTTGATATACTGCTAACAACCATCAAAAATTCTCTCAGTTATTTAAATTTTTGTCAACCTATTCTGCTTTGTATTAATTGACGAGTCTTAACCCTGTTGTAAATTATCAACCCCATTATCTGTCAACATTTACAAGGATTATCTAATGAAAGCGAAATGTGTGCTAAGATTCAAGTTAGACATTTCTAATAATCGCAATATGTTTTCTAAACGGACTGGCTTTTAAATCTATGAATGCTTATAACATTCTTCAATGCATCAGTGAATCGAAGGTTCACGCTTTGAAGAAATTCGAGACACACTTCAAACGAAAACATGTATCGGTAAAACACGCTGTTAGATTCTATAGAAGTTGCTAGCGCTAGAGTTAATAATCTTACATGTATTTATATTTGTAGATATCCACCAGAAGCGGTCAGAATTTAATAAAAACCGCCAAAGTCTGTTTTTTAACTTTGAGCAAACGTACATAATTACATATGTTGTTTCATGAAATGGATGCAAATGTGTCCAATAAAATTTGATAGTTGACATTAATTCTTTCGGTATCATACTCCTTCTTAACTAAGCAGGTTTTGATGACAAGAAGTCATTGTATCTCTACATCCTTTTAAAGGTAAATCATTTAGTTTTTGAAGGTCTTGATACAAGTTTCGACTCAACTCGTTTCCAGAAAACGCAAACTCTATCTCTATATCTCTAACAATAGACCCTAGTACTCACCAATTTTCTTTTATAGTGCTTCCACTACGTATACATCTTCTCAGCTACAAAAATTATTCCAAGCTATTCGACAAAAGTATATACAGGACAGTAGAATCCAACGCATTGCTAATGAGGAAAAGAGTTTGCCGATCGAACAGAGCTACATTAATTTGGCTATGACGAAATCCGAGGCAATAAAAATACAAGAAGAGAAACTTAAAGAACAAGAAGAGAATAACAAATCAGTTGAACAGCTGAATTATCGCGCAAACTATCGTCACACTGAAATCCTTGGTACCTACGAAAAAGTTTACGATGAGAAAGTATCGATCAATATCGAAGAAATTTTCGAAAAATGCAAGCATGTATTAAAGAAAGTACTAGTGCTTGGGCGAGCTGGAATCGGAAAGTCAACCTTCTGTCGATACATTAGTTCCCAATGGGCAAAAGGTAAACTTTGGTCCGAATATGATTTACTTCTTCTGATTCCATTACGTTCGTTGACAAACAGTCGTTATCCACAAGGAACAAACTATTCTTCGATCGATGTAGCAGAAAAAGAATGTTTTCCGTTCGAAGATATGTCACAGGAAGATAGGCAATACTTCAAAGAAAAGTGTGATAATCGTCAGGTACTGTGGGTATTAGATGGCTACGATGAATTTTTCCAGAATATACCAGACCAACTAAAAGACTTTTTTGATTATGTACGCCACGAACAACACCATATCTTGACATCTCGTCCTTACGCGCTTACATTGCCATATGATGTGAAACTGGAAATAACAGGATTTACAAATGATAATATTTCCAAGTATATCGAGCAGTTCTTTGATCAATTTAAAAACGACATTGAAGATGCTCAAATGAAGGGTGAAAGCCTTCTAAGTTTCTTGAAGTTGAATTCTAACATTTGGGGTGTTTTTCATATCCCAGTCAACCTTGAATTAATATGCAGTCTGTGGGGTGATCAAGACTGGTTAGAAGCGAAAAATTTGACAATCACAACTTTGTACGAAAACATAGTCGAATTGCAATGCCGACGATACTTAACAAGACGAGGTGTAGATCATATGCTCAAGAGAAGACAATGCATCTATCAACTATGTGATGCCGAATTGCGATTCTTAGACACGTTAGCCTTCAAAGCGATGGAATCCAACAAAATCATTTTACCACCATCTCTTTTTAAAGAAACCGAACAAGAAACTGGTTACTCTCTAGACGGAAACCCACATGTATTAAACATTGGTATACTCAATTCATACAATGATAAAGCTACTGGCACTCAAGTACTAACTGATCAACAGCATTATTTTATTCATCTCAGTTTTCAAGAATATTTGGCAGCACGACATTTGCTTAGAATACTCCAAAATTCCAATACACAAAAAGCTATTAATTGGATTCGTGATAACAAATATAATCCACGTTTTCTTCAAGTGTTTATTTTTGCATCGGGTCTTCTCGCTCAATCAGAATATGCGTCATGCATTGACATATTCTGGTCAACTATACAAGCAGAACCTTCAGACCTTGTAGGTTTACAAAAGACAAAACTTGTGATTAAATGCATTGAAGAACTGGGATACCACACAGCCTTCCCACAACGAGACGCTTTTCTGGAACAGTTATGCTACTGGTTAGATATCTACGTCAAATCGGAAGTAAAAGTAATCAGAGAACACATTCTACAAATGATTTCACCTGCAAGCTCGTTACCGAGCCATCCTATCATACAAACAAAGCTCATCGAACTTTTAAGAAGCGATGAGAAACACACGAAACTCAGAACATTGCAATTCTTATCAAAGACAACCATATCGAAACTTCAACCACAACTTATTTCGGCCATTCTATTTGCGATTCAGGCTGAAGATGTGTATGTTAGGAACGCAGCCTGTAACGTTCTTGGAAATATCAGTGAAACAGTAGCAACAGACGAAGTTATTAACCCTCTGATTCATATGCTTCAAGATAAAACTCCGCACGTTAGATGGCAAGCCTGTAAAGCCCTCGAAACAATTGATGTTAATGCAACATCAGATGAGGTCATCCAATGTCTCATCAAATCGCTTAATGATCAAGATTCGATGGTCCGATGTATTGCCTGCAATGCTCTAGGAAAGATTGCTGAAAAGAAAGCAACCAACACGGTCATCAATAGCTTGATGATTGCACTTCAAAATAAAGACTCACGTGTGAGATGGAAAGCCTGTAAAGCCATTGGGAACATTAACGCAAACACAACAGATGAGATGATCAATTCTCTCATCGAATCACTTAATGATCAAGATTCGAAGGTTCGGCATGAAGCCTGCATAGCGCTAGGAAAGATTGGTGAAAATAAAGCAACAAATAGAATCATTGGTAGCTTGATAAATGCACTTCAACATAAAGATTCTGATGTCAGATGGCAAGCCTGTGAAGCCCTCGGAACAATTGGTATGAATACAACATCAGATGAGGTCATCGAGCGTCTCATCAAATTAATTAATGATCAAGATTCGACGGGACGATGTGAAGCCTGCAAAGTTCTAGGAAAGATTGCCGGAAAGAAGGCAACGAATAAGGCCATTTGTAGCTTGTTGAATGCACTTCAAGATAAAGAATCGAGTATCCGACAAAAAGCCTGCGTTGCTATCAGAAAAATTGGTGAAAAAGCAGTAACGGTTGAGGTCGTTAGCGGTCTCATCAATGCACTTCGAGATGAAAATCAGCAGGTTAAACGGGAAGCTTGGAGTACTCTGGCAAAAATCGGTGAAAAAGCAGCAACGAATGAACTCACTAGCAGTTTGATTCAACTACTTCAAGATCAAGATGCGAATGTTCGATGCGAAGCTTGCGTAGTCCTTGGAAAAACTCGTGGTAAAACTGTGACGAAGGAAGTCATCACGAGTCTCCTTATTGCACTTAAAGATAAAAATTCAAATGTGAAAAAGCAGGCATCTAAAGCCCTTGGCAGAATTGGTGAAAATGCAATGACGAGTGAGATCATCGCTGATCTTGTCAATGCACTCGGAGATAGCAGCCCTCATGTCCGAGCTGGAGTCTGTACAGCCCTTGGAAGGATGGGTGCAAAAGCAGCGACGAATGATGTCGTTGCTATTCTTATTAAAATGCTCCACGATGATGATTCGTACGTAAGTTGGAGAGCGTGCGAAGCTCTTTCAAAGTTTGGTGCAAAAACAATAACAGATAATGTCATCGATGGCCTCATTAAAGCACTTGATCATAAAGATTTCGGTGTTCGAAGTGACGCTTGCGTAGCTCTCGGAAGAATTCCTCAGCATGCAGTGACGGAAAAGGTCATAGCAAGTCTCATGAATGCCATTAAAGATGACAATTTGTATTTCAAATGGAAAGCCTGTGCAGTCATTGGAAGAATCGGTGCAAAATCGGTAAAAGGTAATGTCATCGTTCATCTGATCGATGCACTTCGAAATGGAAATGAAGGTATGAAAAAGGAAGTCATTGAAGCCCTACTAAACATCAGTAGGGAAGGAGCAATTGATGAAGTCGTTACTCATCTAATTAACGTATGTCGAGACGAAGATGATTACGTCAAAATTCTAGCCCTTGAGGTCCTTGGGAATATTGGTCCAGAAGCAGCAACGGATAAAATCATCATTGCTTTGATTGACGTGGTCTCTAGAGAGGAAAGACATATTATCGATTCTGTTGCATTAGATGCTCTTGATCGAGCACTCTCTTCGTATCATGCTATCAAACTCTTGGATTCATCAACGGTTTCCCAATTATTGGCGTGTATTAAACAAGACAATTTTCAGTTCAATATGGTCTCATCAGATCATTTTCTCAAAGTATTTTTGGAGACAAGAAATCCTAACTTGGCTCCCCTAGTTGCAAATGCTGCATTGCTGCAAGGTACAGCTGTAACTCTTACCGAAAATAATATAACAGTCTACGACAATAAAGGATTATCGCGGTTCACAGTTGCACTACCTGGATTAAAGAAAGCTTTGATACAAGCTTTCACACAAGTGAGAAGAGAACTTGGATATCACTATCATTGATCTACCCGATAAGGAGACTGATTCTGTACAGTCACTATTGATTGAATGTAATGATATATATGAGTTCTATTTTGTTTGCATCTTCTGTGCAGCATTGCGAATGTAGACGTGTGTGAGGCTATAGATGGGGTGGGTGTGATTGTTGGTGTGTGTATGGGTGTGGGCGGGTGCGCGTGCGGTGGGTGCAGTTATGACCAAAGGTGAACAAGATACGTACATCTACAGCCACACACACACGTACCCACATACACGCCTTACTTCTGGCATCGCCAGTAGTATGCTTACTTTTTGTTTTCAGCTGATAGGGTGTGGGTGTGGGTGGGTGAATGCGGATGAACAAAAGACAAACACTGGCCATACACCCACACCCACAACCAAACCCGACACCCATACCGACAGCCACAGCCACACCCAACCCCACACCCACGCCCACCCTCACACCCGCACCCACACCCACACCCACACCCACACCCACACCCACACCTACACCCACACCCACACCCTCAGTGGTAAGTAATGTTAAATGCTAAATTCATATGTATACATGGTAGAGGGAAGATACACGCATCTAGCAGCAACAACAAAAATTGTAAATAATTATAATAAAAAAATATTGCAGAAAGTAATGGTATTGTGAAGAATACAAATTCAAAACTAAAATTAAATCGCTTCATGGCGCTACAAGTTTGAGCTCCTCTCAAGCGATGTTCTTTGGACTATTATAAAGAACAGGATTTCAAGAACTTTAAATGTAGATTAAGATTCGTTGAAGTTACATTCACCTTCTGAAAATATATTTGAAATCATTGAGTGTTTCTTCGATTAGGGTGTGGGTGTGGGTTGTAGTTATTAATCCATACTCACGTCCACACCCCACAACCACACCCACACCCTTCATTACATATATTCAGACATAGTCTGCCTCGATGCATCAACTACCTCCTTATTTATTATTTGTTGTTACTGATGAAAAAGATTGTTCTCTTGTGTTATTTTTGAATCTGTGTGATTTCATTTAAAAAAATCGCTTGGTCTTAACTATCAGATATTGTTGTTCGTTTTTTCTTTGTCCGTCTTTCAAAAAATGTTGATAGAACACATTTTTTCAGTCAATATCGGAGCGTGTTACAGTGATGTCGCACATATACATCTGCTCTATTTCGTTATCGCATTTTCTTTCTCACCTATATGTCTAATCCTTTCGTCTTTCTTGTCTTCCTTTTCTTTCTTTTCCTCGTTCTCCGCTAACTATATATGTACAGCTAACTTTTACTTTAAACAGAAATAAAAGATCATGCACAAGCATATATATACGAACATCTAATTCATATAGAACGAAGGGAAAGGAAAGGGAACAAGTGGTAGCACCACCTGATGAAACAGGCTGAGCACAGTCGAAACGCGTTGTAGTAGGTCTTACTCATTTTTATACCTCACCTTCAACCGTGAGTAGTCTCATTGTATACCGATATTCTCTCTGCGCATATGTTGCATTTGTCTAGAAAAGGAGGATATAGGTAAGCGCTACGCAGTAGAAAGAAACGGCATATAAAATTTGTTTTCATTGCCATCGTCTTTTATTCGTTGTTTGCTTTAATTCCCCATCAGTTAGAAAATACATTTGAAATTATGTTTCATGTCAAAGTAAATAGTGGTAACATGAAGAAATAATTTGTTTCTTCATCAGCGAGTAAAGACATTCAAAATTTCATTCCGTATCAAAGTGTACACCGTCGTGACACACCTGAAAAAATGCAATCTCAGCGATTTCGCTATAAGAAATTGGTTTTAAAAGTACGTGTCGTGGTTATCGATGACGGACCTTTCGTCTTTCTCAACGACATTCGAGACACGTTCTCCCATGCTATTATCAAATTTGCGCTCACCGGTGAACCACTTGGATTCATCCTGAGCAATGATCATCGGCGATTCAAACCGCATCGTATTCGAGCTGCAGTCGAGGATATTATTGATTGTGATATAGCTGGAAAGAGCGCCACGTACACACAAGAAGACGAAGAAGATGAGAAAGATGTACTCCCAGCAATGAAAACCATGCTTGCGAAAATCAATTCTACCACGCAAAAAACTCTTGAAAATACCGATTTACTGGTAAGAAAAACAGATGCTATCCTTCGACAAGCATTTGAACTAGCTGAATTTACTATTCCGCGGGTTTTCATCATTCTACCTGGAACAAAGACACTACTTGATCCGGCCAATTGGATGGCACAATTCTATCGCCGCTTCTTTCTCTGCGAATGTGAAACTGAACATCATATTGCCTCTCATCCAGGCTACATGATCCAAAAGCCTCGTGAATTTTTCCAAAAATACGGACCGTATCTGAAGAATATGTTGACTGTAGTTCGAGTTGCTGTTTTGGTGAGCAGTTTTGTTGCACCTCCATTGAAAAATGTTGCACCCCATATTCATGTTCCAGAGATGCTGTTAGATAAGGCTTTCATCACCAATTTTAGTAAGAACCTCGAAACGATGAGTAGTATTCTTGAAAAGGCTTTGAGTACAAATTTGCCGAGCCAAGAGTCCACCATGATGAGCACAGAAAAGGCCATCGAGAGAGTCGAATTACGCGAAATCGAGTTATTTCTTAAAATGCCGGACGATGAACGTACTTTAGGAAATTTGTACCGTTCAAGAAGTGAGGACGGTCATATTTGATGATCTCTTGGATATAATAGCTCGCGGATTGTCTCTCTTCAAAATGACAATAAAACAATGTAAAATTCGAAATACAGTGTGCGAAACGCTACTTTTCGTCGCTGGACAGCGACGTTTAATTAAACATCTTGAATTTGAAGATGTCATAGTTACTCCGTTTGTGGGTTTTTATATAAATCATTTCGAAGTCATTTCAAAACTAGAAGAGACACTGAGAATCAATGAACACCTTACTGTTGGTTATGTTGTTCACTTAAATGCTAATTCTATTGTCGAGAAAAATATTTCACTACAGTCCTATTTTATGAAGCACTCTACTGTAAGGTTTTCACTTCATATTTACGCTATTGATACCATCGAATGGTTTTCATGTGCTGGTGTCTCAAAATCTGATACTAAAACCGTCAAAGAATGGATATACAAGGACGAACCATCGTGGTTTCTTCGCATTCACCATGATAAACGTCTCACATTCGTTAACTCACCTTCTCTACAGAAACAATCACTTTTAAATTTGACAAATTTAGTGGTTACATTTCAAAATTTGGGCGCGCTTTACTATTATCAAATGATCGAGGAGGATGTGCTGAAAAATATCTGTGAAGCAGTGACAAACAATATAATATCACTCGAAGTGTTGACCTTCGAAAAAAACTATCAACTATCAACTATCGAGCTCATGTGTGACATATCTTGTGCCCATGTTGCAAAGCAATACGTCGCTAATAGAACTCAATTTGCCATCGATGTATTCGTGGCAGATGGACACGGTTGAGCTCTTCATAGAAACTATGCGTTTGCAGTCACATTTAAAAGTCGTGAAGATGGGATGTGTTCCATTGATGTTAAACCAGAAATATAGCGCCATCGACCGCTTACTAAACGGTACAAGCATTCGAGATTTCACATGTGATGTTGATGGAATGGAACAATTTTATCAATTGCGAGACGAGTTGGGAAAGAATCAGAGGCTGGAGACACTTCATATCAAAGTTTATAACATGCATCTTACTGAGATAAACGATGGTTTTTGTCAGTACTTAGGACGACTGTCATCGTTGAAAATATTTTCACTTTCTTTCGACAATACGAGTCTCAATGTCGACTGCAATCGTCTAATTCGGTGTATCGCCGTTAACTCTTCTTTGCACAGTCTTTCGCTGAGTAGAATATCTAATTGCCACGAGCTGATACGTCTAAATGAGGATGGATGGAAGCTGAAATGTCTAAGATTGTCTCGATGGGACATTCATTTTAATGACGTTGAAGCTTTGGTGAAAGCGCTGAAATCTAACCAGAGTATCAAGGAACTCAGTTTATCGGATAATCATCTTTCTGAATACAGTGTAATTAAGATTGGAGGCGCACTTATTTCTGACTTTGTTTCGTTGACCATGTTGGATATGTCGAAAAATACGCTGACTATTGGAACTATTGTTTGTCTTCTTGGAATGCTTCATTTTAATACTACTCTCCTACTATTCAACATCTGTGAATGTCTAAGACGGGATCAGAATATTAAATATGATTTAGGCCAAGTAAAAGAGTGTAAGAAAGCAATATGAGAAATGGCCATGGTGAACGAGTTTCTAGAAGTGCGGTGGAGAGATTGAAAAAAGGCACGTCAGTTGGATATGTCTCGATACTTTCCTTTTTCTTGTGTGTACAGTGAGAAAATATACAAGGAATGAGTTTTGTTTGTAGACGGTTTTCTCTTATATACACTGTTGGCTTCTAAATAATGTGACCTTTTCTCTATCTACGTTTTCTGTATATTCTCTCACATATGTTCTGTCATCCTGTATTTTTGTTACTTCTTGTAAGCGTAACTGTATTACCTTCTTTGATATTTAAATATGTTAATTTTTTTCGCTGTTAATTGATAAGTCGAATCCGCATCCTTGATTTTGTGAAACGCATTTATACAAAATGAACTGAGTTGAGTTTACAAGGAGAATTTTCGGTACCTTCCCTCACAGCAAAATCATGTGAAAAAAGCGTGTCTTGCTCTACATACAGCGTTCTGCTGGTGAAGCACGCCGTTCTAACTCGATCATTTCCTCTGCATATTCACAAAGGATCGCTTTTAGTTAAAATATTCAATATCAACTTGGTAAATTGAGACACTTTTGATAGATCCGAATGGATGACTGCGAAACATCGACTTTTCTTATTGAACGTCTGGGTTAGTGCATGTGCTATTGACTGTAAAATCCTAAAGAATATTGGTATGATGTGTATCGGATATGAGAAGAACGCTACCGTCTATATGGCAGGGATGGATTCAATCAAAAATTCCAATCTAAATCAGCATGTTC